TCATTTTTCTTCTTCGGGAACTCCTATGATGCAAATATTATTAAGTTTCCAGTTGTCTCACAGTTCTCTTAAGCTGTCTTCCTGTTTTTTAATTGTTTTTTTCTTTTCATTTTTCTGATTGGTTGATTTTTTTCTACCCTGTCTTCTAATTCACTGATCTGGTCCTCAGCTTCTTCTAGTCTGCTGTTTAGTCCTTCCAGTGTGTTCTTTATTTCTGCTATATCATTCTTTATTTCTTCTGGGTGGTTTTTAATTTTCGATTGGTTGATTTTCAGTATCTCCAAGTCCTTACTCATGCTGTTGAGCTTTCTCAAGATCATGGCTCTGAATTCCAGCTGTGTTAACTTGCTTAACTGCATTTCATTTATCTCATCTTCAGTAGAGGTCTCTTGGTCTTTCATTTAGGATTTGTTTCTTTGTTTCACCGTTTTGGCTATTTCAGTGGGTTTTGGAGCCTGCCCAATTTTCCCTGTGGGTATTGGTGTTCTGCTGTTTGTGGCTCCCTCTACTGGGTTTGGATGAGTGTGGGAGGACCCACGTTAATCACTGCTGTCAAGTCTTACTTTCCTGGGTAAATTTGCAAGCCCAGGAATGGTTCAGTTATCCTCTAGCTCTTTTTCTGGTGGCTGTTAGTCTCAGTTACTTGATGAGCCTTGGGTTGTAACCCTCAGCTGAATAAAAAGCTCCCTCAGGTGTTCAGCATAGACAGATTTGGACAGTTGCTGGTTGTTAATGAGCCTCAATTTTCATTTCTATGGCCCAGGTGGATGCGGTTAAATCTCCAAGGGAGGGGCTGCTACTTCTCCCTAGAGGTCCAGGAAGGAGCAAGATGGCTGTCCTGGGTGGCTGCAGCTCAGCAAAAACTCTGAGTGTCCTCTAAATCCGGGTGTCCCCACAGAGTTCTAGTCCAGTCTGCCTTCCCTCTGCCAGAGCCCAAGGTGAGTGGCTGTGGCTAATTGTGTGCTCTGGCTCGGCCCTCTGTGCTGTGGAGCGGGCTTGAGATTTTAACCTCGAGGATGCTGCTCACAGCTAAGACCACTGCTGTCTGTGGGCTCCCAGCCCCCTCGTGCCTACCAGGCTGGATTCAATGTCCCTGGTTATAGTGCCCTCTCAAGCTGCTTTTCTGTTGGTTTTTTCCTGATGATTTGTCTTAATTTTAGTTGTAATTCCAGTTTGGTCCTTGGAGATGGTCTGTGTAGTTACCATTCACTCTGCCGCCATTTTGGAAACCCCCCCCACACATCCTTTTTTTTTTTTTTTTGGCGTACAATGATAAAAAGGAGAAAATTGCCTAATATTTTTTTCTTCATAATTCTGACTAATGTTTTGCTTTTGACTTGCTTTTTTGGTCTGAATATTTACAGTTTTTATGGGTGTTTTTTGTTGTTGTTTTTTCATGTGAAGTTCAGGATCTCTCTCAATACTGATCCATATAAATTAGGTTTTTCTAGATTATATATGAGCCTTTAAATGTTCAGATGCATGACCTCCATTTCAATGTATTTTCTTTTACTATATCTCATGTTTTTTTGTTGTTGTTATTAATCCTCACCTGAGGATATTTTTCCATTGATTTTTTAGATAGCGTGAAAGGGAGTGAGGAGGAAAGAGAGAAAGAAACATTGATGTGAGAGAGATGCATCAATTGCCTGTCTGCCTCACGACTCTGACCCAGGGTCAGACCCACAACCCTTCCGTCTGAGGGTGGATGCTCTAACTGCTAAGCCAAACTGGCCAGGCCTGACCTTTTTTTTCTTTAATGATTTTAAAGAGATAGAAACATCGATGAGAGAGAACATCGATCGGTCACCTCTTGCATGTCCCCCACTGGGGATTTGGCCCACAACCTGGGCATGTGCCCTGACTGGGAATCAAACCATCAACCCCTTGGTGATTGGGTTGATGCTCAACCGCTGAGCCACGCTGGACAGGCCTGTCATATTTTTTATTTTATTCTATTCTTTTTTGGGAAATAAGTTATCTGTCTGTTGGCTCTCAGTTGCTTGTCTTTCATATTTATTATCTCAATAATTGACTTAATCTCTTCAATTTCAGAGACTATAAAGTAGTTCTATATAGTTTAAGATTTTCTGTTTTATGGAGTAAGTGTTCAGAACTTTACTTTCACCTAACTTTTGCATCCTGGGTTTAATTTTTGTCTCACTAAAAGATTTTTGTGTAGGTTCCATGTATGTCTCTTTAATCATTTAAAATCAATTTTAGCTAATCTTGCTTAAAAATTATATAGATGGAAATCTCTTTTATTATATTTCATATGTAGATAATTGTTTTATGTACCATTTGGATCTTTCCTTTAAAATTTGAGCTGGAGATTTTTGCTGCTGATGGTGGTAGTTTCTGAGTAGCCATTTAGCTACTCACGAGGAGTAATTGAGAAGCTGGGACCTTAGAGCTTTGTCTTTGAGTTTCTTTTCTGTGTGTATGTGTTTTTCTAAAACTGGAGGAGGTAAGGAGTGCTTCACCAGGTTGGGGACATATCATTCAAATTTGGTCATTTCTCCCATTTTGTTAGGGTTAATAGTTTACTTTGATAAGAAGTTGGGTTTGTTTCATGAGTCAGAAAATATTTTTCTCCACATAGTTACTTTGATCCATAGTGGCCAGACACCGTTTTACATTCATACCAGCAATATATAGTGATCCAGTTTCTCCACATTCTTACTAGGATATGGGGAAAATACTATTTTTTTTTTTTATCCTCAGGTACATGCCCTTAGCGGGAACCAAACCTGGGTCTCTCTGGACCACAGGCCAACGCTCTAATTGCTGAGCCAAACCGGCCAGGGCAGAAAAACACCATTTTTTATTTTAGCCATCCTTATGGGTTTATAGAGATATTTCTTTTTTTTTTATTTGCATTTTCCTAATGGCAAATGAAATTGAACATTTTCTCATTTGCTTGTTTGTTATCTGTACATCGTCTTCAGTGAAATATCTTTTCTTGTCCTTTTCTAATTTGACTTTTGTGGGTGTTTTATTTTTATTTTTTCCTGTTTGTTATGAGAACTCTTTATATATTCTAAATACTAGTTTTTTTGTTAGATACGTGGTTTGCAAATATTTTCTCCAGTTTTATCATTTTAGTCTCTCAGTTATGTCTTTTGCAGAACACAAGTTTTAATTTTGATGAGGTTCAGTTTACCAGTTTTTTTCCTTTTATGGATTATACTTTTTCTGTCAAGTCTAAGAATCCTTTGCCTAGCTCTAGATTCAGACGATTTTCTTCTGTTTTTTTTTTTTTTTTTTCGAAGTTTTGTAGTTGCATATTTTACATTTAAGTCCAGGATCCATAATTAAATATTATATAAGGTGTGAGATTTAGGGCAGTGTTTATTTATTTTTGCCTGGAGATGTCCAGTAACATTTATTGAAAAGTCTTATCTTTCTCCACTCAGCTGCTTTTATACATTTGTCAGAAATCAGTTAAGCATATTTATGTGGGTCTATTTTTTGGTTGTGTGTTCCACTGACTCATGAGTCTTGTACTCCAGTACTATACAGTCTTGATTTCAGTCTCTCTATGATATCTTAAACTCAGGTAGGCTAATTATTCCTATTTTATTCTTCTTTTTAAAAATTATTATAACTATTCTAGCTCACTTGCCCTAACATATAAATTTTAGAATAATCTTGTCTATATAAGAAATCTTAAAGGGATTTTTTTAGAAATTGCATTAAACCTGTGTATCCATTTGGGGAAAATTGCATCTTTACTATGTTGAACCCTCTGATCCATGAACATAATCTGTCTCCCCATTTTTTTAGTTACATTTTATTTGATCTTTTTTATTGACATTATTTAGTTTTTAATCACACAAGTTTTGTACATGCTTCCAATTGTTTTATGTTTTTCATAATCTTTATTTTTAGTGGGATCATTTAAAGAAGGGAGGTCATGTCAGAAGTGTTTAGCTGATATTCAAAGTTTGTTTAGATTTGTTTAATTTTCATTTTTCATAAACTCAAATAAATCTAACTTAATATGTTAAGTCTTTAAAATAGCATGACTAGTATAATCCAAACGCTGTAAAACTATAGCAAAATGATGAAGAATCTGAATTCTTTTTTTTTTTTTAATCCTCACCCCAGGATGTTTGATTTTAGAGAGGAAAGGAGAGAGAGAGAAACATTGATGTGAGAGAGAAACATTGATTGGTTACCTCTTGTACTTAACCAGAGTGGAGATTGAACCTGCAACCAGGTATATGCCTTGACTGGGAATTGAACCCGCAACCTTTTGTGTACAGGACGATGCTCCAATCAAATGACTTACCTGGCTAGGGCAAGAGTCTGAACCTTGATTTAGACTGCTAGTATGACCCTGGAATGGTTACTAACCTCTCTGTGTGAGTTCATCTGTGAAATGGATTAATAGTCCTTAGTTTATAGTTTAAGGCAATCCATGTAAAGCTCTTAGTACAGAACTAATATTAGCTATAATTATCTTTCCTGTCTCTGTGTTATTCATAAAGATGTTATTCATATCTGTAATGATATTCAACAAAAGTTGTTTCTGGCTGATAGGATTTCGAGTGATTTCTTTCTTCATGCAGTGCTTTATTGCTTGCTTTTTTAAGTAAGTAATAACACAAAGCTTTTCCTTAAAAAATAAAGTAAATATAAATTTTAGTTGTCTCAGCACTTTGCGTCTGAAATCTCAGTCGTTGGGCCTGGAAATCTATATTTTTAAGATGCTCCTCAAGTAATTCTGATTGAATCTTAGTTTTCCATACCATATTTACCCATGTCCCACCCTGACAATGACAGTGATTATTCATTTTACTGACTTGTCCATAAGGTGCTGTTTTAGCAGCAAATAGAGGGATAAACTCATAAGTAAATGTAAAATATTCTTAGCTATGTTCTCTTATGTGAAAGGAATTAACTTTCCACTGTAGCTAAAAGTTATCAGACTTTTTACTTTTGGTGTGTATAGTGCTCTATAATTTATAACATCCTGTTAATTTTTTTTCTTACAGAAATACACTTTCGGGAAATGGCCTCTAAATCTTGGCTGAATTTTTTAATCTTCCTCAGTGGATCAGCAATCGGATTTGTTTTATGTTCTCAGCTATTTAGTATTTTGTTGGGAGAACAGGGTGACACCCAGCCTACCATTCTTCATAATGATCCTCATGCTGGGCATTTGGATGATAATGGACAGAAGCATCTGAAAGGACAGATGAACTTCAATGCAGATGCTGGCCAACATAAAGGTATGGTTTACTTTATTAAGGAGTATTTTTCAGGATTAAACATATTTTTCAGTCTATGTAAGTATTGGAAGAATTGGAAAGTTATTTGAATTTTGTTGTACCACAGTATATCTTCTGATAAATAAGATCTTAATTCCAGATATTAAATGACAATTCTCATTTTGCTTCAGAAGGAGGAAATTGTTAAAAACCCATATGTATTTAGGTAGTAAAAGATTAATTTTGAATTCATTTTTTAGTAGAAACAGTTTTGTTGTAACCCAGGAGATCGACCACACTCAGACTCAATTTTTCAGTTTTGGGGGATGTTTTATTACCTGCGCAGGGGCTGCAGTTCTCCTCTGTGTAGGTTGGCTGCAGTCCCTGCGCAGGTAATAAAACATCCCCCAAAACTGAAAAATTGAGTCTGAGTGTGGTTGATCTCCTGGGTTACAACATTTGGAGGCCCCAGCGAGATCAGCCGCGAGGTCCCCCTTTTCCGTGGGGTCGACCTCCTCAGACTACGCGGAGGGCTGCCTCCTCGCCCTCCGCACCTACATTGGTTCTGGCTTTCTATTCGGCTAATTCGGACTAAGACTTCAGCCTCGAGGATCTGGGTAAGGGATTTCCCCTTCCATCTGTTTTCTGTTCGGTAGCTCCGGAGCGTTCTGGGATTGTTGCGGACAGGACGCCGCTCAACCGCACTTCCCCTTCAGGGTCGGGACGCCGACTCCTGACCTGGGAAACCGGTGGGTTTCCATCTGTTCTGAAATTGGTACCAATCTGTTTTAATCTGGCACTTTCGGGTGCGTCTGGCACTTTCGGGTGCAGGAAACTCGGTGGGTTTCCATCTGGCACTTTCAGGTGCATCTGGCACTTTCGGGTGCGTCTGGCACTTTCGGGTGCAGGAAACCCGGTGGGTTTCCATCTGGCACTTTCGGGTGCATCTGGCACTTTCGGGTGCAGGAAACCCGGTGGGTTTCCATCTGGCACTTTCGGGTGCATCTGGCACTTTCGGGTGCGTCTGGCACTTTCGGGTGCAGGAAACCCGGTGGGTTTCCATCTGGCACTTTCGGGTGCATCTGGCACTTTCGGGTGCAGGAAACCCGGTGGGTTTCCATCTGGCACTTTCGGGTGCATCTGGCACTTTCGGGTGCGTCTGGCACTTTCGGGTACAGGAAACCCGGTGGGTTTCCATCTGGCACTTTCGGGTGCATCTGTTCAAACCCATCTGGCATTTTCGGGTGCGTCTGTTCTGAAATTAGTATTTTGTGTTTTGACCGCGGTTGTCTGCCTATTTGTGTTCCGTGTTCTCTGCTGCTCTAACTGTTTTGCTTTCGGTAGGATGAGACAAGGACCGGTAGGATGAGACAAGGACCGTCAACGCCCCGTACCCCCCTTGAATGCATTCTTGCTAACTTTTCTGACTTTTCCAGGAGATCCCAAGGCTACAGAACACCAGCCGATCCTGGGGTCCTCCGGACCCTCTTTGAGTTGGAGTGGCCAACATTCCGAGTTAATTAGCCATCCGAAAGATCTTTTGACTTGAGTCTTTTGTTTGCTGTGAGGTCCGTTATGTACGGGGTTCCCCACCCTGATCAAAGGTATACATTAATATTTGGATTAGAAATGTCAGTGTCCGGAGGTTCAAATGAAAGGAAAAAAGTTTTGTTAATAATGCCTCTGCCTGTCCTGAAGGACAGTTAACTCCTCCCAGCCCCCGAGGAAATTCTATCCCATCCTTCATGACCCCCTTGAGGTATACAAAAATGTCAATTAAACTGAGTTTGCCTACTTTGGGTTCTTATTACAGAAAAGCTAGAAGATGAATTTAGATCTGTTAATGATCTATTGATTAAAAAATGTCTATTAAAAATATGAATATATTTGCTAATCAGAGGAATGTTAATTACTTGTACTTGTCAAAAAAAGAAAAAATATTCAATGTTTCTAAAAATTAAAAGTTCAGATTAGGTTAAAAAGAAATTATATAGTTTTAATAAAGGAAAATATAAGATATAGAAATATATATATTTTTAAAATTGTTCTAAAACTGGTTATTTCTGACTAGATAAAAAGGTTTATGAAAGTTAAAAATTTGTTAAGAGAAATCTTAGAAAAAAATTATAAATAAAATAAATTAATATAGAATTTATTTGGTTCTTTTTCAGCCTGTTAAAAGGGGAAAACATTTTTCCCAATATTTGCCTGAAAAGCAAAAGTTATATATATTATTAAAATGGTTTTATGTTATGTTAATCAAGAACTTGATTCTTTAAAGAGCCATTTTTTTAAAAATCATAAGAACTGAAGTTTCACTGACCTATGTTTATGTTTAACATTTGTCATTGTCACTTTAAATAAATAAATAATTGAATACTATTTAATTATAATAATAATACTATATAATCTTTTGGTCAAATATGTTTGACAACCTTTCCAGGTTTCAAATTTTAAGAAACTTTTTCTTGACCTGGAATTAGTTTTGAGTCATTCTAATAAGACCTGGAATTCCTCAAAGATTTATGTTCTCTCCTTATAAAAGGAAATCAAATCAGTGCAGATGGCTTAACACAGTCTGTTTCCTCACTGAAATATAGATAAGAGGACAACACACTCCAAATGCAAGAGCATACACACTACTAAGAGTGATTATTTGTTCACTTAGCAGATGCACAGATCCTCTTATACGTGGGTCTCTGCTAATGCTATGGGTTATGCAAACAGTCCTCACTTTAAAGGGGCTTATAATATATTTTGTAAAGTCATGCTTAAATTATTTAAAAAAAGAACATAAGCCCCAGAGGCCTAAAGATCAGGCTCTTTTTTAGTTTAACTAAAAAATTTTTTTCTTTCATAGTACGATAATGTACTCACATATAAATAGAAAAAAAAAATCTGAGCTATGATTACTATAACATAAATAAAATGAAACCTCTAATGTACTTGGGTCTCCACCTGGGAAGGGCTTTATGAAAAAAAAATTAATTATAAAAATAATAAAAATTTAAGATTTATAAATGATAGAAAATAAAAATTGACATAAAGAAATAAAAAAAGAGATAATGATTCTTTGCCGCTTTCCCCTGCCTTGTCAGCAGGGCAGGCTTCTCTCAGAGCCTCAGTTGCTGTGTCCCCTGTGTATAGGGGGACCCAATGTCTAAATGGATATAGATGTGTTCAGATATACTAGCTTCTTTATGATGAGGTCTCAATGCCTCTCTGCAAGGCTTAATAATATTCTCACAGGCAAACTGTTTAACCATTGAAATGCCAGCCCGGGCTGCTCGTCCACAGCGGGTTTGACAGCAACTAATTTCCAACAGGCTTCTCTGAACTTTAGGGATCCCAGGCATGGATACGAAATTCTCTTAGAGAGTTAAAAAAAACACTCTGCCCCATGTAAACAATGTTAAAACATTACTCCCCTTTCCTGTGTCCTTTTGTAAACCTGGGGTCAGAGGAAATGTTCCCATTCCTCTGCCCACAGTAGGACCCAAATACTGTCGGGGGAAGGGCTTCCTTAGAACACTTTTCACCGTGTTCCCCTGTAAGACCTATTGGCCCAATTGGCTGAATTAACAAAGGTAGTAATAGCAGCCTTAAGAGAAACAGGGCACATAGAATAGGGTCACCCTAGGAAAAGAAATATGAGAAAGGGTCAGGACCACAGGCCTAGGTACCAGTTAGGAATAGAAAAGACAAAGACAAAGTCAGATATAGAAAAACAAAATAAAAAGCCATCCTTAATTTAGGAAAATAACAGGGTCAGGGCTCCTTCCAACTGAGCCCTCTGAAACCCAGAATAATACTAAATAATAGGGGATAAACTAGTTAGTTTCCTAATAGACACTGGTGCAGCAGACTCAGTCTTGACCGAGCCAATGGGGCCCTAACCTACCCCTGGACTTCAAAGAGGACTATAGACCTTGGGAAAAATACTGTAACTCATTTGTTTCTGTTCCTGCCGGAGTGCCCATACCCCCTACTCGGACGTGATCTCCTCCAGAGATCATTTAATTGCTGGCCACTGCCACTCCAAGCCAGCCTCCGCATCAAGTTCCCCAAGACGTTGGCCATCAATCCTGCCAGCCTGCCTCCAGATGATGACCTGGAGTAACCTCTGCAGGATGGCCTGGAGGGAATCAACACTGCAGATGGCCACCCAGACCTCAGGGAAGACCCACTGCCATCATCAGACGAGGTATTGTTCACGGACGGGAGCAACTATGTCCAGGAAGATATCAGGTATGCCGGGACAGCAATAGTAACTCTGGACCATGTCATTAAGTAGGGGAACTTCAGCCCGATGGACTGAACTCATAGCCCTAATTCAGGCTCTCTGATGAGACAAGGGGAAACCATGCTGCAAATAAGGAAGATCGACATGTGGCCCTAAAACCAGTGGGGACCTCTCCAGATATCAGTCACCACACCAAACCCAAGTTCACCTCTGACTCCTACTTACACTGGGTCAGAAAATGACTTAACTGAGCAGAAACAAGTCATAAAAAAAATCAACGAATAATAGACACTGCCTGCTAGGAGATTGTTGGTCCCCGAGGCTCTAGGTCGGACTTTAGTCAACCAGCTGCACCAGCCTACCCTCTTAGGTTACACCAAGCTTACTGAACTCCTGGGAGGCAGATAATGTCCAATAAGGTCACAGGGAAAAGGAAAAGATAGAAGGAAGCAAAAATTTATAGGTCTAAATGGGGAGGAAAAGAAAAAGGCTAGGGGATATGCAGACAGCAAATAGATTGAGCAACCTCTCAGGTTCATGTCAGGGGAGGGACTAGAAAAATCACAGAGAGTCAATGTAAGTTGAAGAAGGATTATACAGAGAAAATAAAAAAATAAAAAGAAGAAAGATAGGGGCATACATATTACAGGAAGACAGGACAATAGAGGAATACTCAGGAAGGGAAGAAGATAAGACACTGAGAGGGGAGAACTTGCCCCTAATAATAGAATAATAGTCTAGGATGCAATAAAGGGAATAACAGATTTAGGCTACTCCTGACCCTTAGATCAGACAGTGACCCCGCCTTGATAGCAAAGATATCACAGGATATCTCTAAGGGATTAAATATAAATTAGAAGCTCCATTGTGCTTACCGCCCACAGAGTTCCAGGCAGGTAGAGCGTATGAACAGGACCTTAAAGGAAACCTTAACCAAATTTACTTTAGAAACCGGTGAAAACTGGACCACTCTGCTCCCCTCGCCCTCTTACAGTTCTTACAGGCCCTGCAGTCTGCCCAGAAGGCCATCCATAAACATCTGCGATGCCCTGCCTGTGCCCACCTCAGACCCTGTGCACCCTTTCCAGCCAGGGACTCGATGCAAATAAAGAAATTCACCATCCAAGGACTAACTCTGGCCTGGAAGGGACCATACACTGTCATCCTGTCTTCACCAACGGCTATCAAGGTCAACCGCATCCCGGTCTAGCTGCATCATTCCTGGTTGAAGGCAGAAAAAGCAGAATGAACGGTGCAGACCTCTCCAGATCCCTTAAAATGAGACTCTTACGTTTATCGGGACTCTAATTTTTCTGATTATAACTGTACAGGGGAATCTTTATAGATCTAGACCCCAGTAGAACTGGGTACTTAAAAATAAAACATTTTAAAAAAATCTTAAGAAATGTCAACCAGAAGAGGGTCTATATACAGCCTTAGGTGAAACCTGCTATTTCTATGCCAACCATTCAGGTATAATCAGACAGAGCATCCAAATTCTAAGACAAAAAAACTAAGAGAAGGAGAACAGGTCTCCCATAATTAATATGAAAACTTATTTAATTAGTCACCATAGCTAACATCCCTGATTTCAGCGATAGCAGGGCCCCTACTATTATTATTAATCGGAATAACTTGTAAACCCATTCTAATTAATAGACTCCTAGCCTTCATCAGAGAGAGAGTATAATCAATAAAACTTAGAGTCTTAACACAATCCAACTAGAGATTGTCTCCCCATGACAATTGTGAATCAATGGTTTGATCCACTCTCAAGAAAACGGGGGAATGTTGTAGCTCACTGTCCTTAGAATCCAACTTGTCTTTAAGCTGCCCTAATTAACAACCTCAGAGACAGCAAGATGAACAATGGGGAATGTTATAGAGGGCTTTAGCCCCAAAAAATTAACTAGAGTTTGACCTTCACTGGGAATTTGAAAAGCAACATCCTTCAGGAAAAGGGAGGACAGAAACGGCCCCAAGGCCAGAGTGTCCTGCATGCTCTGTAAAGAAATTAATAGGGAGAAACTGAAGCTCCCTTTACCCCATAAAACTGTAACTGTTCAACATGTGTGTATTGCACCTGACTGACCGCTGATATCTGTCTCGAATTTGTTAGTTTTTAAAACTTGGATAATGGAATGAATAGCAGGACAGATGTATGCTGACCCAGTTCACCCAGTTCCCTTTCGCCTCAGCTCCCTCCCCCCTCCGTTCCCTCCTGCTTATCGCTAACTGCCTGGGCTTCTGTACATGCAGCTTGCTTGCTCTGCTAAACTCTTGAATGACCCCTGCCCTATATAAGCAACCCTCCCCCTGAGCTCGGGGCCGCAGTTCTCCTCTGTGTAGGTTGGCTGCAGTCCCTGCGCAGGTAATAAAACATCCCCAAAAACTGAAAAATGGAGTCTGAGTGTGGTCGATCTCCTGGGTTACAACAAGTTTCAGAAACTAATTTGGGGAAAGGCAAAACTTTTCAGACTGGATTTGTTTCTGAAAATTCTTACTCAGTCTAATTTTGTTATCATGGTTTATATTTGTATCTTTGGTTTTTGCTATCATCTTGTTTTGGTCCTAGTTTTTGTTTAGTTGTGTTTTCTTAGAGAAACACGAGAGGCATTTGTAAATTTCAGTTTATAATTTTATTAGTAGTTAATATTTCTAATCTTTTTCCTTTTGAGAAACATAGGGAATTAGAAAACTTGGGATGTGTTTAAATGACTTCATTTTCTCCTGGCCTCATTTCTGTAACTAGAGTTCCTCAATTGAGTCTAATGTGTGCCCATTAAATGTAGGTTTTCTCCAAGTTTCTGTCCTTTGGCTCTTCTTTGCCTGTGTGATGTCGTCAACCCCCATAGTTTTAATTTCTATCTCTTTCTTGCTGTCTTTATCTTCATCTTTATCTTTTATCTTTAATTTCCATCTCTTCCATACTGTCTTTATCTTTAACTTCAACTATAGTGTCTGTAGTTCTCAAAGATCTCTGCAAATTTTGTGGTTTATTTGACAGAAAAGAATACAAGCAACTTGAAAAACAATTAGAATTCTAGTATGCAGAGGATCCCCATTAAGAATTGTTTCTCTTATTTTTATGGCTGTAAATTACTTCTTTTCTACCTCTCAAGCAGAGGTTGTAGAGCAAGGTGTCAGATCTTGGTTGAGTTTTGTGAACTGGCAAGCACATGCATACTATTACAAATTATCTTACGTTGTTTGAATGTTTTTATAACAGTGATTCAGCTCCGAACAGGTGCTCCGTGTTCTTATTGTAAAGCAGTTTGATCACTGCACTTGCTCTATAGCATTGCTCCAGGTCTTGAAATGATCAACTGGATTGAGGCTCCTGTATTACTAGTAGTGTGGTAGGTTGGCCTTACTGCAGGTAAATATATTAGTATCTACTTGTCCTCGTAGATGGCCCACAAAATGTAGAGTATGGTAAAAGTTCTGTTCCTCTCAAACTTAACTTGTGCAAATGAACTTCTTTTCTTTTTCTTTCTACCCTAAAACTTGTTCTACCTCTTATATTCCTTATTTTATCTGACTCATTACCATCTGCCTATGCCAGAAACTATGCACTATGGTAGATGTATTTCTTTGCTTACCAATATCATTTGTCACTTAAATCTAACAGTTCACCTTCTTTACCATTTCTCATTTTTCATATTTCTTCTCTCAATCCATAATATATTCCCCCTAGATCAGGCCCTTCATTTATACCCATATAACTATACTCAGTCCAACTTCACCATGCCTTTGTCCTTTCTTCTAGTGAGCATCTACTCATTTAAAGACATAATTTCTGCATTAACTCTTATTTTTGCTGATTTTTCTTTATCTCCCTTTTTTCTCTGTTCTAGCCAAGGTTCCATTGCTCTGCTCTATAGGATTTACCAGCCACTGCTATCTTTTCCCACAGCACATCAAACCCTTTGTAGGTACCTCCTAAATTTTAGCCTCTCTCAGTATGTGGCAAGTATTGGTTTGCACATGTGTCTTATTCATCCTTTTACCTCCTGCCCTAGCACATGCTTACTACAAAGTAATTAACAAGTGAGTAATTGAAAGAATATCTACCTAGCAGCAGGGAGAAAGTTTCCTTGCTCTTAGTGAAACATGTTGGGATTCCTGCCCTGAACATTTTCCTTCTCCATCCAGGATTCGGTGTGGCTGTATAGCTAGGAAATTGGGCTCCCAAGTATAAGAACCGTGAGTGCTCTCTGAAAATAGGGTGATTTTGTCAGTTATTAGATTGTGAATTCTTGATATTCAGTGGCGCATCAGTATATTTTCGTGCCCTGCCCCAACCTTGCCTTCTATTCCCTCTCAGTCTGTTAACTAGAAATTTGTCTTCAGTTGTTAATTTTTGACAGGACTTAGCTTGCGTAACTCACTGGTTGACCTTAACTTTTAAGGATATGCTTTCCGAGGATTCTGCCTAGAGCATTGCTACACAAAGTGTGGCTTTGCAGACTCCTGCTGGTCCACAACTAAAGAAGTATTGAATTCATGATTAGAAACTTTATGGTAATTTGACAGTTAATTTTGTCTAAATCTAAATACAAAAACTTATTGGGGCTTGTATTTTATATCTTTTTTTAAAGTTTTTATTTTTGAGTATTTCATTTTTAGCATGTTTATAAAAGTATAGATCTCAAACTACTGGGCATAAAAATTGGTCCTTCACCAAGCACTGATCTAGAATCTTATAGTTGGACTCTTTCTCTGCACCAGTGTGGTCCTGGCATGACAGCCTGTAAATTGTTGGCTACCTATCTGCACCCAGATAAGGAGCTTGCACCAGGATGTAAATCATTTAAGTTCACTGCTTAGGACTTTTTTAGAGGGGCTGGGGGAAGCAAGACTTTCTCAATGAAAAAATCAGTATGCTGCTTTATATTCTGTCATATATTCCTTACACATTTCTTTGTAAACCCATACTTTGAAAAATCCTACTCTAGACAATCTTGGAAATACTAGATCTACCTATTCATATGTTCTTTTTCTGACTGGTGGATTTGCATTTTGTAATGAGATGTGTTACTATTATAAGTAATCTCAACTCTGCATTAATGCCTCTTCATCAAACTGGGGTAATTAGGGAAGCCTTTTTAAAGCCATCTCAGGGTACTTACAGAAATTCACAACAGTGAACTCTTGTGAGCTTCAAAATGAACTGCCACTTCAGCAGTATGTCTTTCCTGCTTTTCATAGTTCATTCAGAGCAATGAAAAATTCTTGTCTATGTTCTGTTAAGAACCAGCTGAAGCTTTCTTTGTAGAATGAAATGAAAAGCATACTATCTAAGGCAGTACTTAGAATGCATACGGATCACCAGGAGAACTTGTTGAAATGTCGATTGTGATTCATTTGGTCTAGAGTGGGACCTGAGATGCTGTATTTCTAACAAAGTCCCAGGTGTTGCTGATGCTATTTGGTCAAGGAACCACAGTTAGAATAGTAAGAATTTAAGTCATAGTGACAGCTCATGTTAGCTCCATTGATCTCCTGGATAAGATTGACATGTGACCAATAAATCAAAATGTCAGTTTATTTTAGGTTGAGTTTTGCTTTCTTTCAGTTAAATCACTAATGGTAGCTAGGTAAATAGAAGCAGGGACAGGGGGTGATGGTTCTTTGAAATTGTTTAAGAAAATGTCTTCAGCATAATTTATTTAGATTTTACATATATGTAAATATAACTTTAAAATTTTTTGTTTAATAGATGAGAACACAGACATCCCTGAAAACCTCTATAAGAAAGTTAAAATTCTTTGCTGGATTATGACAGGACCTCAAAATCTAGAGAAAAAAGCTAAACATGTCAAAGCTACATGGGCCCAGCGCTGTAATAAAGTGTTGTTTATGAGTTCAGAAGAAAATAAAGACTTCCCTGCTGTGGGATTAGAAACCAGAGAAGGCAGAGACCAGCTATACTGGAAAACAATTAAAGCTTTTCAGTATGTTCATGATCACTATCTAGAAGATGCTGATTGGTTTATGAAAGCCGATGATGATACTTATGTTATATTAGATAATTTGAGATGGCTTCTCTCAAAACACAACCCTGAAGAACCCATTTACTTTGGGAGAAGATTTAAGCCCTATGTAAAGCAGGGCTACATGAGTGGAGGAGCAGGATATGTACTGAGCAAAGAAGCTTTGAAGAGATTTGTTGATGCGTTTAAAACAGAGAAATGTACACACAGTTCCTCCATCGAAGATTTAGCACTGGGGAGATGCATGGAAATTATAAATGTAGAAGCGGGAGATTCCAGAGATACCATTGGAAAAGAAACTTTTCATCCCTTTGTACCAGAACACCACTTAATCAAGGGTTTTCTACCTAAAACATTTTGGTACTGGAATTATAACTATTATCCTCCTATAGAGGTAAGTTTAGAAATTTTATTACAGTATAAATACTTAGACTGACTTTTGCTACTTAAAAAAAAATCTAACTAATATGTGTATGTTTCTTTAGTAACACTAAGAATCTCCTTTAGTCTTTTTACTTAGAGTGACAGTATAACAAAGTAAATGAGAATAAGAGTGTCAGCAGTAGTCAGTCATTCAACAAATATTGGTACTACCATATGCCAGGCACTGAAACTAGAGCAGTCAATATGGCCCAGTTCCAGTTTTCATGAACCTTACATTCTAGATGAGAAGACATATAATAAACACACAGATGAATCAAGATATAATATGAATCTAGGTTGTAGTTAGTACCCTGAAGAAAAAGCCAGGTGAGGAGATGGAGAGTGACTCAGAGTGGAGTGGGGTACTCTAGTTTGGGTGGTTAAGGAACAACGCATCAAAAGACTAAGTTCATAAAGGCCTAGGTTCAAATCCTGCTCTCCCACTTAATAGTTGAATGATCTTGGAAGGACAGCATTTGCCTTCCAAGCATCAGTTTCCTCATTTGTAAAATGGGCATGATCTACCTGTCTCATCTTGTAATTACAGTGCAATGCCTATCACACACTAAGCACCTAATAAGCCTTAGCTCTCATTTGACACCTTAACCTACATTCTTGAGAACTTCATCTAAAGTGCATTGTTTTATTAAATTTTCAGATGTACAAATATTTAAGAGGAGCATAATATCTTGTACCCATAAACCAGCTTATCCAAATATTAATCTTTTGCTACATTTGCTTCAGATTTTTTTTAAAGAAAAAGGTAGAGATATAGTTGAGGCCTGGGTATCCTCCCCAATCCATTTCTCCTACCTCCTTTAGATAACCACTATTAAGAATTTAATATTTATCATTGCCATACTTGTTTTTATATTTTTCCTAAATGTTTATGTATCCATAAATAATATATAGTATTGTTCTATAGATTTTTATTTTTTTATTATTATTATTTTTTAATCCTCACCTGAGGATATTTTTTCATTTTTTATACAGATAGAGTGGGAGGGAGAGAGAGGAAGGGAGAGAGAGAGAGAAACATCGACGTGAAGGGACACATCGAGTGGCTGCCACCCGCACGACCATCCAGGGCCGGGGACAAACTGCAACCGAAGTACGTGCCCTTAGCGGGAACCGAACCCAGGTCTCTCCGGACCGCAGGCCGACGCTCTAACCGCTGAGCCAAACTGGCCAGGGCAGATTTTTAAATAAACGGAATTATATCATATGTATCCTTGTACATTTGCCCTTTTCACACAACAGTAACATTTATCAACATTAATCTCTGCCTCTGCTTTATTAATGTAGATTGCTGTGTAAATCTGATATATGAATATACTGTAATTTATCTATTCTCAAGCTGATAAACATTGAGTAGGTTGTTGCCGATTTTACACTATCATAAGCATTGCAGCAGTGAATGACTGAAAGAGACCAGGAATCACAAAACTCAGCTTTTAGCCTCAGTTCTGTTATTAATTAATAATGCCTTTAGGCAAGTTACGAGGATTCTGTGCTTTCTTTTCTCTGGTCCTATGATACAAACAATATATTGTCATACTATCATTCTCTTCTTCTTCACAGGCCAGCACTTTCAAATCATCATCTAGAATAGTAGTTCTCCAGGGCTTTTTGTTTTGTTTTTCCACCCAGAGGGAATCTAGAGGCCTTTACCAGATTTGGAGGCATTTTGGGGTGTTAACTGGGAGATTGCTACTGGTATCTGGTAGGTAGAAACCCATAAGATTGTAAACCACTAAATGCAGAATATTTCACAATACACAGTACAGCCCCCAACAACAAAGAATTATCTGGCCCAAAATGTCAGTATCACTGACATTAAAAAACCCTGACCTGGAACATCTGACCCACGCATTAAGTAAACAGTTTTAAAAGGAAACTTTGAAGCAAACCACTACTACTACTATCACCCACCAGAGTGTTCTTGGTACTTACACAGATACCATAGCTAATCCTTACAGTAATTCTGCATTTAAGAAGTTACAAAACTGAGGCTCAGGAAAGTCAAGTGACTTGCCTATCCTGATAAGTAGTTTAACCAGTATTGCAAACCCCTCTGATTCTTAAAACTCTTATTTCCTTCCTGAGCTCTCCTTTATGACTAATAGGATACATGCCCCAAAAGAGTAGGGGTAAGAGGATACATTAGAATAAATATTCTGTTTTGGGGATAAAATTCCACTTTAATAAATAAACATTTTAAAGTTCTGTTTTATGTAATGAGGCTATTGAAACTATGCTAGCATTTTATTGCTATTGTAGATGCAATAATTTCCTAGACTATAGAACAGATGAATTCTCAAGCCTGCCTTTTAATAGCTTATTATTTTTGTTTTGTTTTAGTGAGATGCTACTTTGGATGCTTTTTTGATGGAAACTTTCCTTAGTATCTTCTGACCATTCCAAGATTAGCTGACCTCTTCCCTTCTTAATTCTGTACCCCTTTGCATACATAAATATACCCAAACTCAAGAACATTATAAATGAATGTAACAAATGCATAAAACTTTACCAAAAGTATCTGATATTGGGTACAGCACAATAAGAACAAAGGGACATCTTAATTCTCATTATTTTGTAATCAGTAAAATGTTCTTTTCCTTTGAATACTGCCTACAATTCCCACTGACAAATAGGTGGGAATTCCCACCGACCTAGCAATATGCTTTATATGAACAAAATAAGTATTTCTGTAGTGCTTCTTTTATTTATTTTTAAATTTTTTATATCCTCACCCATGGATATGTTTTTATTGGTTTGAGAGAGAGAGGGAAACAAACATCAGTGTGAGAGAGAGAAACATCAACTGATTGCCTCCTGTACGCCCCTGATCAGGGATAGAATCCAAAACCTAAGTATGTGCCACGATCAGGAATCAGACCCACAACCTTTTGGTGTACGGGATGATGCTGGCAAAGGTGTATAGTGCATCTTTTATTTAAAGTGTAATGTTTTTTAAAATGGATGGCAGAATTTATGTTTATTCTATAAACATTTATTCAATTATATTGAAGATTATAAAATAGACTTGGGAGTACTAAAACTAACCCAGCCTTCTAATGTTGCCTTTTCTCTCTTGGAAGGTTCTATATAAACCCATTGTGAAATCTGACTTCTGTTATTACTCATCTATCATTTAATAAATTTTTTTCTCCCTGAGTTACTATTTTTAAAGCCATCCTAAGACTCATCATAATTTTCTGTAGTAATCACTAAAAATACATTGTAGAAAAATTTTATATAGCAAGTGAGATACTCTAGTTGATCAAAGAGTTAATGTTCTTAATTTGGTTATTTAGAACTTACCTCTTCATACAGTTAGTTCCCTTCTCATACCACTTCTCACTTCCCTGTGAATCTGTTCCGTAGGAATAGACTTCACCAGAGAATCTTACTTTCATTACTGATTTAAAATACCTCCGTTATCATATACTATGGCATTACTTATAGTAGGATCAGTGTCTGAATTTCAGTTCTATGCCATTGTTCTATTTGATTTTGGGTCAGCACTGTATTGTTTTTTTTAACCTTGTAGCTTTACAAAATATGTAAGTTCTTAATCTAAGAGTGTATATTTCTCTCTCTTTCAAATTGTTCTGGCAATACGTATGTCTTTATTCTTCTGTATAAATTTATTAATTTAAGGACAATGGATATCTTTGTCCAGGATTTTTAAGTTTCCTTTTTGGTCCCCTAAGGAAGTTTTATTGTTTTCTTCAGAAATTTACTTCTTCTTATTTCCTTAGGTATCTAATGTTTTTGTCACTCTTCTTCTTAGGCTCTTTCTTAAAACTTGTTAGCTAATATATATATGAGAGCTTTTGTTTTTTTTAAAAGCATCTTTAAAATCTGGCTTTGTTCTTGGATTTTTTCATATGATTTTTCACTTTACTCTCTTGAGTTTTTGAAGAAAACATAATCATATGCAAAGAACTATTTTATTTTATTTTTTAATTATAGTTTTATTATTTTTTTATTTTATTTATTTTTGTTACAGATGTTTCTCCTTTTTTTCCCCATTGATACCCTCCTCCCCACCCATCCCACCCCATCCCCAGCTTTGCTTTCTATGTCCATCGGTTATAAGTTCTGTGGTTTATCTCTTCCCTCCCCCCATTCTGAGTTATCTCTTATTTATAATGCTTAATAATAACAGTACCCTGACCATCCAGTAAAAAACAATAATATAATAGAATGTAATGTAATTAATGCAATAAATCCTATAAAAATAAATCCTATAAAAATATTATTACAATATTTCAGAGTAAAATAAAATTGCTTCCACAGATGATCAGCAATTTAAAACTAACTGCTGCTGTTCTGGTTTTTTAGTTTAATATGTACTGGCCAGTATAGTAGCCACTAAACACATTAACTATTGAGTGCTTGAAATGTGACAAGTCCATACTGAGATGTGCCTTAAGTATAAAATTCACACCTGATTTCAAAGTCTTAGCACAACTAAAAAGAATGATTTCATTAATAATTTCTAAAATACTAATTATATATTGAAAAAAATAACAATATGGATTTATTCAGTTAAATACAATGAATGCTTTTAAATTAATTTTACCTATTTCTTTTTAAATGTGACTACTAGAAAATATTAAACTATATTATGTTCACATATACCTACTGGACAGAGCTGGTTTAGATAATCACAGGTTGACTTATAGTTTAAGTTTTATGTTTGTTTCTATTATATTTTCTCAAGGTATGAAAATTAGGCACCAGATAATTTTTTAGTGCCTATGTAGTTGGCCAAGATCTCACAATGTTTGTTTCAAAGGAAAAGTTGAGAATCAGACCAGAGAAAATATAATGAACAATTTCTTGATAATTTTTACTGCATTGTAAGCTACATACTTCCAGTCATGAATTATATGTACAATTTAATAGGTCAGTATGAATCTTCTCTAAGAACTTGCTAAACACCTTTCTCCCTGGGTCTTTGCAAAGACATTAGATAGAATCTGAGTTTTGTTGGAGTCACCTAGATGAAACATTCTCCAGTTCTGATCCCAAAATGACCTTGTGACTGTTTAATTTTTTTACCAGTTTTTTTTTCTGTTTTCTGTATTTTTATGCTTTTCCGTTCGTTTGTTATATTTTCTTTTAGTTTTTGTATTGCTTTAAACTTGCTCTCATATCAACCGTATTAGGAATGCATGAGAATTATGTAAGTGAACAAAGGTTTAATTCTGTGTGACTTACTGAGGGCCACCTGAATGTGATTCTTCTATCAATAATAGCTGACATTTATTGAGCATTTACTATAGGCAAAGCATCGTTCCAAGCATTTTATACACATTATCTCCTTTAACCATCTTTTGCAGATAGGGAAATTGAAGCTTATAAAGATTTTATAACTTGCCCACTGTTGTACACTAGTAGGCAAAATTTGAATTCAAACCTAGGTTTGACTCAGAACTTCCTCTTTTAAATACTATACTGTTGGGGTTAATGTGTAGATGAAATATTTGGTTGCAGAAACCTAATGGGAAAGGCTTTCTAATCATTGAATGCTCCAAAGGTATCTTTCTGAGTCTGAGCCAAGTGAAAATTTAGAGTGAGAAAATTACTGAGAGAAAGCAAAACTTGAAGAATTAGAGCTTTATCCTTGATGTAGCTCTCCCTTTCATTTAAAAAAGTCTAAGATTTTCTTCTGCTAAAACACTACAGAGAAAGAGAATATTATTTGAGTTGTAAATACTTTAGCAATTGCATGTTTGGTTTTAAATCATTATGAACTGTATAAAGTCCTTCCACGGGTCTAATAAATTAGGTGCCTCTTTAAACATTGCCAGCTTTAATTATTGGGTTCTGTTAAGATTAGTGTTTCCTTTAACACTATGTGTATATTGTGTTTTAACAAAATGCTACTTATTAATGATGCCTGTTTCCACTCCATTTTTAGGGTCCTGGTTGCTGTTCTGATCTTGCAGTTTCTTTTCACTATGTTGATCCTACAACTATGTATGAATTAGAATACCTCGTTTATCATCTTCGTCCATATGGATATTTATACAGATATCAACCTGCCTTACCTGAGAATATACTAAAGGAAAGAAGTCGAGCATACAAAAATGAAAATATAAAAGTAAAATTGAGAAAAGTTGAAAGAAAAACAAATGAACAGAGGTCAAATGTCTAGCATTGCACTGAAGAAGAACTACATTTCTGATATAGAAACTGGAATCCCATTGAAGAATTCTTTCTAAGTGAACATTCCATATTAGAAATCTTCATAAGAATGACTATAAACTGAAGCTTTAATGAGCTGTGAAGTCTGTTCAAATGTGTTTTGATACATTAATATATATATGAAAACTTATGTTTTTATAATGTTGGCCAGGCAGAGGGACTAGAAAAGAGATTTTGTTGCCTGTTTCACAGTTAAATGTGCTAAAACTACACTGCACCATATTAGTAACATACACATGATGCTAAACATATCTGCCTTAAAATTTTAGAAGGAAGTATTGTTGTTCAGTCTTGTTTATAAACTCAAGACATGAAATTATATTTGCAGTATGGTATAAATGAACCCCCCCTCAAAAAAAATAAACACACACACAAACCCGTGTGCAGTTTTGGCTAATCTAAATTTTGCTGTGACTATTTAAAATTGGCAATATTTCTTTCAGAAGAAGTTAGAATAGGAATGGCACTCATCCTAACATACATTAATAAAACCACATTTTGAAATGATCGTGGGCCTTGACTGTAATATATATATACTTGGTTCTAATAATCTTTTATAGGCATACCTCATTTTATTGTGCTTTGCTTTATTGTGCTTCACGGATATTGCGTTTTTAACAAATTGAAGGCAAGACCCTCCACAAGCAAAAGATTATGACTCGCTTTATTGCGAGACTTGCTTTATTGTGGTGTCTGGAACTGAACCCGCAATATCTCCTAAGGTACTATGCTGAGTCCCAGTTGTCTCTTCTAAATATGTTTAACCATTCTTGGATATCATTTTCAACTATTAATATTTATTTACTCAAAGCATTAATAGCATTTGATTAACATGGATTTTTAAATATTTTGTTCCCATATTTACCCAGTTAATTATGGGTAACTAATAAATAGTAAATTTAATGTTTTTGGGGGAATGCTTTTCTTATACCTGTGCCACTCTCAGGAATTACTTAAGCGACACTTTTAATTGATTATTTAAAACACTTTCCAACTACATAATTATAGTTCCCTTCATTCTTATCCTGTTGAAAAATGAGAGCTTGTTTGTGCCTTTTATAACTTGTTTTAAAGCAGTTTTAAAATTTATTTTTAGCATCTGAGGTGGTTAATAGTTACACTGGCAAAACAATTTGACTACAAGATTTTGACTAGAGTTACTTAAAAACATTAGAAAATGCAGAGTGCTTAAACAAGCTGAAATATGTCAGATATTAAAAGACCAAATAATTTTTGAATAACATGAATTTTGATGCTGACTTAATATGTACAGGGTGGGGCAAAAGTAGGTTTACTATTCATACAGAAAATAATACAATAATTAATACAAGACTAAACACTGAGTTTTACATACTTAACTACTATAAACCTACTTTTGTCATACCCTCTATTTTGGGATTTTTGTTTTGCCAACGGGTAAATAATTCCATTTGAGCAGCGTACCTACTCAAGACTGTTGTCAAAAACACGGTCATGAATGTTTTATTCTAATTTTAGTTACCCTGTATTTAAAAAGTTTCTGGAAGAAAAAAAAAATATTTGTTTTCTTTAGCAATATTACCTGAGTGTATCATAACAGAATATTTTACAGACTTTCTGTAAGATTATCTTAAATGTTTCAAATGATTTATATTTCTTTTATGTTGATCATTATGCTAATTTTACATGGCTGTCACACCCTTGGCTCTGCTGCTTAGCTAAGTAGTTGATATTTATTGTGCCAAAACATGTCAAAACCATGACCTCTTTGGATGGTATATTTGAGAGGATGTTCATCTTAGTGGCCAGTTATGGATACTCTATCCATGTAGTGAAAATTCCCACCAATATTTGAATTATTTTTTATTGTTTTCATGATGGTATCATCTGCCAAAATTTCAAAGCATTCATTCTGTTCTTAAACAGCTTTTCACCTTGGTGTGGATATGAATTTATTTGAGTCCATATTTGTTATTTTTCTGTATTAGAAGTATAAATGGTTTATCATAAATATCCAAAAACCTTAACATTTACTCATAGGAAATTAACATTGTGATAAATCCTGGGGTCCCAAGTCGGACTACCTGGCTTTAAATGTTTGCTTCATCACTTACTAGTTTTGTAACCTTGAGCAATTTACTTAATCTCTCTGTGCCTCAATTTCTTCATCTGTAAATTAGGGACAATAATATTACCTACCTCACAGGAATTTTATGAGGATTAAATAAGTGAATATATGTATGGCTTTTAGAACACTGTCTGGCCCAGAGTATAGAGCAATAAGGTTTTATTATGTTAACTTGGAGTGTAAATATTGTTTTAAATGAATGAAAAATCTGCTTTAATCAAATCGGATATTAAAGGAAATACTTTGTTCATTTCTTATAAGTAATAGCTAGTTTTTATCTGATGCATACTACATGCCAAGTACTGTGCTTAGATACTCTTTGTACATTAGTATTAATCCTCACAAATTGGCTGTTATTCCTATATTGTAGATGAGAAAACTGAGGCTCAGAATTAACTTTTCAACTGTCACAAAGCTAATAAGTAACAGCTGGGATTTCTACTCAAAGCCTGTGTGTTCTTTATACCATGTCAGCCCACAGGTTAATTGTTTAGCATTATTTTCATTTTTTACTTAATTGACATGTGACGTCTGATACATTGGCCAGTAATAGTAAAATTAATCAGATTGTCATGATGCTTCTCAAATTGTGGTTTTTATCCTCTTGCCTGGGAGCTTGTTAAAAAGCTGAATTCTTTAGATTTTAAGACCCCAAGCCCAGAAATTCTGAATCTAACATGGGGTCTAGGACTATTCGTTCTTACTAGATACCCTTGGGCCCTGGTTCTCAAAGTGTGGTCTAAACCAGCAGTATTAGTATCACTTGGGAACTTGTTGGAAATGCCATCTCTCTTGGGCCCCATCTCAGACCTACTGAATGCTTGAGGCTAGCTGTTACATTTATTTATCTTTTTTTTTTTATCCTCACCCGAGGATATTTTTCCATTTTTTGTACAGATAGAGTGGGAGGGAGAGAGAGGAAGGGAGAGAGAGACAGAAACATCGACGTGAAGGGACACATCGAGTGGCTGCCACCCGCACAACCATCCAGGGCCGGGGACAAACTGCAACTGAAGTACATGCCCTTAGCGGGAACTGAACCCGGGTCTCTCCGGACCGCAGGCCGACGCTCTAACCGCTGAGCCAAACCGGCCCGGGCCTAGCTGTTACATTTAAACAAGCCCTCCAGATGAGGCTTATTCATGCTAGTTGGAGAACCTTTACCCTAAGATCTAGGTGCTTCTGACGTATATGATCCTTGGAACATGCTAAGGATTACTGCTGTGTAAGTAAGGTTTCTTTCAAAGATTTAGATAAAGCATGTTTTAAATAAGTGTAGTCCAATATTACACTATATTAAATTTAAAAGTCTTTAAAAATGATTTAACGGGTCAGTGGACCATTTATTTTGGCAAAATTATTTAGCTTCCTCAGAGTGACTAACATCAGGACCCACACAGTAAAATCTATAATTCTTCGAGTTTAGGAATTTCACAGTGAGACAGGAAGGGTTCATTAAGTAAGTACATACTAATTCACTAAAAGCATACCTAAATGAATGTCATCAGAAATGTCCATAATTGTTAATAAAAAATTTTACAGATAGCAAAATACTATTTTATAATATGCAGAATGTATTTTGCTAATTTTGACAATTTCATCACTTTCAAGAATCAGTTGATTATCCTATATAACCTTATAAAGCAAAAAATTTCAAGTATTTGATAGAGCACATAAAATCAGATTTCATGATACTGACATATTTTAAATTAAGATCTCTGTCATTTGGATAAATTATTTTAATGTGGTCTCAAAACATAAGGCTTTTGCTATCTTATGTTGTCCATAGCAGTATGCTTGTATTTTCAGTTGAGAAGTTCGTAGACAATGCAAAGGACATTGTTATTCCAGAGTTAAATTGTTTCACCTTAAATTTAAGAGGAATTTTTTTACTGTAAAAAGATTCAAAAATAAATCACTGACCAGTTTTGAATATTTTTTGAAATATAGTCATTGGATTTGAGCATTAAATTTGCTAACTGGTTATTTTTATAATTGTTTTGAATATTAATTTTACACTTCCTTAAGCCTATCAAACTGTACTACCAGATTGAGGCTTGAAATATCCCTCACTTGATTGATTAAATCTAGTCTGTCCTTTTATTCTCCATTTAAATTTTCAGTTTATTTTAGAGTATCATGTCTTTGACAATTTCTGCTGCTTTGTATTGATTGCGCTTAATTTTCTTTATAACTACTATTTTTATTTTCTAAGTACCCTTAATGCTGCCTTCATGAGATTAATTTGGCTGTTATTAGTGATTAGAATTTGTATCACTTACTGATAATTTTATACCTATTAACCTAAAGTTTCCCTGTGGGTTTAGAAGTAAAAATCTGTCTAAGAATAATGTCTGCTGGCTCTCAGGATACTTGCCCTACTTAAAAGTCTACAATTTTAAATTAATTCTAGGTGTGTAATTGTTAAATGAAGTAAAGTTATTTGGATTCCACCACCACCTCATCACCACCCCCTTACCTTTCTCAAAAACAAACCAAAAAACTCGTTTGCCTGATTTCTCTACTTCTTTATAGTAGGCCTGACAGAAACATACTTGATAAATTTGGGGGATAACCTGTGGTTTAATTTATGCTAAATGTAACTTGATTTTAAAAATTACTTACGTTTATATATTGAAGTTGAAATAGAAATTTTAATACAGATTAGAGTAAGACATTTTACCAAATCTCTCTAGAGAAACCAACCTGAAACTAGTGTTCTATTTCAACTCCTTTACCTCTGGTTTTTCGTTTATAGCAGTTAAGTTTAAATAACTTGGCAGGGCCCTGCAAATTAATTTATGTAAGGTATGTTATTAGAGGGAAACTAATCTTACTGCTAAGCAGTGTGCTATATTATACAGTGAATGTTTATGTTTTGAAATTTAAAAGTTATGTAAGGTAATAGTCTCATGAATGGTTTAAAAATGTCTGGTGATTTGCTTATTTTAAGTAATCACCGATAAGTCAGAAAAAAATGTATTTTTAAATATGTTTTTTAAAGTGCCTTTTGAACATTTTTAAACAATGGATTTAAACAGTTGCGTAAAATAAATTACCATGTTTAAAGCTGTTCTTTCTGATTATTTTTAATGTGTCAAAGTTTCGGGAGAAGCATTGTCTTATGGGTAGTTTGGGGGTCATTTTACTATAAAAGTATTAATTTAAATTGTTTTTCTATCAAACGTCTTCAATCTGAGTAGGCTGAAGTAATTTTATGCAGCATATATTTTTTTAAAGCAACAAAATAGTCTACCTCAGATCTTGAATAATATATTTTGAGAAATTAGAAACACCTACTCTGTAGTTTAGGGTTGGTGTGTGTATAGAGAGAAAGATTGCTTTTCTGTTTCTTGGTGTATTTTGATCTACCCTTTTTACTGAGGAAATGGTTTATTCAACTAATTATATATTAAAATAATTGTGCCCAGAATCAACTAGAAATACTGCAGTGAGCAAGATGTATAGTATTCCTGATCTTATA